TACGACACGGGACCCACGGCTTAAAGTCCCTCCCGGAGGACTTGTTCCCTGAATTTTTCCGCCCTTAAAAATTCGACGACCTCCGCCAGGTATTTGAACCCGCGTACTACGAGTCATGAGGTGGGAACGTTACCTCTAGACTACGGAGGCCGCTTACACTACATATAAGAGAACGTAAAAATCTACACAAAAGCTACAGCCTCCTCGTATTTCAACTTTCATTCACCCTTGAGGCGTCGACCCTATATCGTTATAAGGATATAGCTTAAGATAAATGAAGAACTGTAACTCATAGTCATTCTGCTGTAAATAGGAATAAAACATGAAGAATGGAAATTAAACTAATTTTTCTTCTACTGACAACGTCACTGTTACGATTCTCTACCGCATAATAGCAGCACCAGGTCTCATATACCGGGAAATGACTTACCCAGTTGATGCGAGTATTGTTGTTCTCAACAGGTGTGGTCTTGTCCTGTAACTGGGACGCAATTACATCCTGAAACGTCGGCTGTCGCTGCAGTTGTGCGGCGTACGCCATTCGGAATGCATTTCCGACAATCGAATTCAGCTCTTCCGCCTGGAAAAGAGAGGCAATTGCTTATTGATATTGTGTTAACTCGTGGTTGCCTATGCAAAGAAAATGTAGGTTAAATTACTTCATGAGAAAGAAATGATTCTTCTCTTTAGCTCTCCCGACTTTCAGCGCCATATTACATATGTAGATTCCTGCATAATCCTGAGACGCGATGGAAGGAATGTAGCGCACCTGAAAGGAGTAGCGTAGAACCATAGAACGTTTGTTCTTATGCGTATAATACGTGAGATTAAGTTCAGCACGATTTTAAACACAACCAACCGAACAGTTCTGTAGGTACCACATACTCTGAAAGAAAAGACTTCTCTTCAATCATTTTCTTGATATTAAGTACAAACCAACATGTGTGTGGCGACCCCATATGATTTATCTTTGTTCTTAATTCGCATAGTGAGGGGTGCAGACCAGTTGGGTCCACTCGGCACGGCAGCCACTGATTGGCCTATTGTACCTGCCCCGGGTGATTATGATGATGTAGAATTTGGTGGAATGAAGATTGGCAGGGGAAACCGAAGTACTCGGAGAAAACCTACCCCAGCACCACTCTATCCACCACAAATCCCACTTGACCAGACCCGGGTCTGAACCCGAATCGCCGCTGTGGGAAGCCAGCGACTAACCGCTTGAGCTATGGCGCGGCCTATGACTTACCGTATTTACGCATGTATAGGCCGCGT